CCTGCCCCTCTGCTTTCCGGGAGATGCCTCCAGCTGCCTTCCAGGCCTGCTTCTGTTCTTGTTCTCCGTTGGTGACCGGGTCAGAGCGGCTGCCCTCTAACACCCGCGCTCGGGCCTGTCCGCCTGTCTGTCTGTCTTGTTCGCGGGAGGTTGCCTGACACTGGGAGCTGGTCAGCCCCGGAGGAAACGCCTCCTGCCGGCGCCCGGAACCAGCACAGGGCCCGGAACCAGCACGGGGCCCTTGGCAGGACGGGGCCCTTGGCAGGACGGGGCTCCGGGTGGGGTGCACACTCACCTTCAGCGTCTGGACAGGTGTCCCCATGCACACTCCCCTCCACACTCTCCTCCACCCTCTGCAGTCAGCCTCCAGCACCCGTGGCGGGGGGGACAGCCAGCAGGTCTTTGGCTCAGATCCCCTCCCACACCCCAGACCCGTCTCCCCCTTCTCAGCTCCTGGGGCTGTGACAGGCTGGGCTGCCTCTCGGCTCTCCTCCCCCTCCCCTTCCTCCCCCTCCTCCATCTTCTCCCCCTCCTCCTCCCCTCCCCCTCCCCCTCCTCCTCCACCTCCTTCCCTCCTGGGGTCTGGCAGGAGACAGACATCAGTCGGAGCCAAGGGACTAAAATGCCAGCCAGGGAGTGAGAGCGGACAACAGGGGGAGAGTGACCGAGAGGCAAGGACAGCGGTGAGAGAGGGGGAAGGGCACGTGCAAAGGGCCTGTGGCGGACAACACGCATCTCTGAGAAGGTGACAGGGCGAGTGGAAGGAAGCGGTGGCCCTGCTGGAGCCTGTCCTGATGGGAGGTGCAGTGGGCAGGGTGGGGGTCATGGCTGATGTGAACTTCCGGGGACCCTCCAGCCCCCCATTCTCAACGCTTCCAGGAAGGGCCCGCAGGAGGCCGGCAGGGCTTTTTTTTTTTTTTTTTTAACATTTAAAAAATATTTCTCTATTGATTTCAGAGAGGAAGGGAGAGAAACATCCATGAGAGAGAATCATGGATCAGCTGCCTCCACACCCCACCCTGGGGATCAAGCCCACAACCCGGGCCTGTGCCCTGAGCGGGAATCGAACCCCGACCTCCTGGCTCATGGGGTGATGTTCGTCCACTGGGCCAGCCGGCCGGGCGGAGGGCAGGACTCTGGCGAGGCCCCTGTGCGGGTGGGGTCGCCGTAGGAGGCTGTAGCCCACACCCGCTCTGCCCCCAGGAGATGGCCGACTGGTTCAACGCGCTCCGGGCTGCCCGCTTCCACTACCTGCAGGTGGCCTTCCCGGGGGCCAGTGACGCTGACGTGAGTGGCGGCTGCCGCCGTTGCCCTGGGCTGGTGGGCTGGGGGCTGACCAAGGCCCACGTGGGCCCCCAGAGGCCCCACCCCGATACCTGTGACCCCCTCCCCACTGGTGGCCCCCTGACCTCTGTGGCCCCCTGAAGTGACCACAGCAGCCCTCCTTTATTCTGAGGCTCTGCCCCAGCTGCAGGGTGGGGCTGGCGGGGAGACAGCCGGGACAGCAAGGCCTTTCCCCCCCAGCTGGTGCCGAAGCTGACCAGGAACTACCTGAAGGAGGGCTACATGGAGAAAACCGGCCCCAAGGTGCGTCCCATCGGCTCCCAGGCCTCCTCGCTCCATGATCGGCCTCCGTCATGGGGGTTGGGGGTGGAAGTGGAAGGGCAGCCACACTCCGGCCAGGCCTCGACCTGCCTGTGCATTGCTAGCGGGTCATCTGGTGTGGATGGTCCAGGCCCCCAAAACGTTTTGTAAGAGCAGGGGCCCCACTGACCCAGGACCAGGGGGAGCGGACCTCAGGTCAGGCCCCACCTGGGCCCACAGGGAGGGCGAGGCACCGGCGGGCGGGAGGTGCAGGCTGGGGGCAGTGGAGGGAGGGGCACAGCGGGAGGAGCGGCAGGTGCCAGGCCCTGGGCAGGTGCCCACAGGAGCACGAGGGGGCTGAGCTGCTGGGTGATGGACCCACGGCCCTGCCCCCGCCCGCTGCGGAGCTGTGGTCACTGGGGGAAGGGCCGCATCAGGCCAACCGCCGGCCGCCGGCTCTGACCCACAGCAGACGGAAGGCTTCCGGAGGCGCTGGTTCACCATGGACGACCGGAGGCTCATGTACTTCAAGGACCCCCTGGTAGGGCAGGGCCGCGGCCGGGCAGGCAGGGGGACGTGCCTCCTGCTCCCGCACCCGAGACCGGGCACCCACGCGGGGCAGCTCTGCTGCGGGGGAGGGAAGGCTGGGGGTCCCGGCCGTGGCCCCACCAGCCCTGCGTGAAGCTGGGTTTGGACAGGGAGGTGCCCCGAAAACTGCCCTCGTGGCCCCACGCCCGCGGGTGGCGGCCTGAGGGGCTGCCGGTCAGCCTGTCCCCACCCGCAGGACGCCTTCGCCCGGGGGGAAGTCTTCATCGGCAGCAGGGAGAGCGGCTACACGGTGCTGGACGGGCTCCCACCGTCCGCCCAGGGCCACCACTGGCCCCACGGCATCACCATCGTCACGCCGGAGCGCAGGTTCCTGCTGGCCTGCGAGTCCGAGCCGGAGCGGCGGGCGTGGGTGGAGGCCTTCCGGAAGGTGGTGGACAGGCCCATGCTGCCCCAGGAGTACGCAGGTGAGGGCCGGGCAGGGCTGGCGGGGGGCAGCGGGCCACCAGCATGGCCGTGCCCAAGCCCAGCGCCTGCCCCTTTTCCAGTGGAAGCTCACTTCAAACACAAGCCCTGAGGGCTGGTCCCGGGCCGAGGACTGGACTCACCTGGCCTGGCCGTGGGCTGCGGACCGAGGAAGCCGCCACCAGCCCGAGGACAGCCCAGGCTCCGTCCCGGGGGCCGTCTGGGCTCCGTGGGGCCCTGAGCCGTCACCACCAGGACCTGCTTCTCCAAAACCTCATCGTGGGCCAACCTGTCTGACCTCTGACCCCATCATGCTGCTGTCCCTCCCTCCCCACCCCGGCCCACTGACCACCCTTCCTCCCCTGCCACCCACCCGCCTGAGGACCCACCCCGACCACGGAGGCTGGACTGTGGGGCAGCGGGTGGCCTGCAGGACCCCTGTACTGCCCACCTCCCCTCCCCTCCCCTCCCCTCCCCTCCCCTCCCCTCCCCTCCCCCACCCCCTCAACAAGTATTTATTGAGCCTCTGGTGTGTGTTAGTCGTGGGGTCCGGGGACTGGAGGGGGGACACAGACCTGGCCCTCAAGCCGTGGGTCCTGGGGTCAGAGGCCCCCATCTAGTGCCCAGCCCAGGCTGCCTGCACCGAGCCCCCAGGGGCACCTCACAGACCCAGTTCAGGACTCAGCACTGCCCAGTGACCCCCAGTCCCAGGCCTGACCTTGCTGTCTGACCACTTGGAGGAAGGAGGTCTGAGCTCAGCTCACCCCTAGGCCCCAGCACGCTGCTGTCCGCGTTACAGCCCGAGATGTCCCAGGTGCCCTGCTCCACGCCTTGGACCCTGTCTGTGAGAACAGGTTTGGGACAAGGGGGTGGCTTGGGGGCCCGTTTCCCCAGGAGGCCCCAGTGCCTGGTTGAGGTGGAGGGTCACCTGCCAGATATCTTGGCTGCCTCCACCCCCAGCCCCTCGTCCTGCCCAAACCATGACCCCCAGGGGAGCCTGGGGCCAGGGGGAGCTCCTCAAAGCGGGGTGTCTGCTTCCCTCCAGCCCTGCCCCAGTCACAGCCTGGAATAAAGTGGGCTGTGCTGTGGCTTGATCCGCGTGTTGGAGGCTGGTGTGGGGGCTCTGGGCCCCAGGAGGACCTGCCCACAAGCAGGGAAGGGGGGGCATGCCCAGGACCGGTGCCCGAGTCACCCAGGTGTAGGTGGGGGCACCAGGGGCTGCCCTCCCTCCTTCCCTGAGCCCACTCCTGCTGGTCGGCTCAGACCAGCTGTAAACCTAGATTGGGGTGCCGCAGAGGGGCCCCCTCATTGGCCTGTCGCTGTTGAGCTCAGCCAGGGCAGGGTCCTCGGGATGGCCGGGGGGGGGGGGCGCGAACACTTCCTGCCCCTGAGGTGCCCATCCCCGAGGGGCAGTCGGTGGGCCCTTTCTTAGAACCAGGCCTCACTCGCAGCCGGGACTGCAGCCCGTGGCAGGGTCATCCGGACCGAGGGAGACCCTGAGACCCCACCAGGCAGGGCCGGCTGCAACCCACCCCCTCCAACCAACCTAGACCCTCCCTGAACTGAGGTGCAAGTGTCTGTGAGCTTCTGCGTGTGCGTGTGCGTGCCCCAGAGACCAACAACCTAACATGCAACAAGGAATCGGAGGACAGCGTTAGGCCTGGGGGACGGTGGGAGACCTGCCCACACAGGGCTGGTGGGCGGGGCCCTTGGTTGAGGGCTGTGGGCAGAGGGGTCAAGTGCAGGCCCCGTGTGAACAGCCTCCTGGTCTCAGCCCCTGCAGCGACCGAGAGCCGCCCACTGGGCCCTGGTGGAGGACACACAGGGCACATGCAGCCCAGAACATGTTCCCTGAAAGTGCACCCTTCCCTGACCCTGGGGACGCTGCAGGCCCCAGGCCACGTGGTCAGGACAGACAGCTGTGAGCATGGGGCTCAGAGGGCGCCCTGGGACCCAGGAGGGAGAGGAGAGCAGACCCCATGGGTGGCCTGTTGAGCGCAGCTGCCCAGCTGGCTCTGTTTGTCCAGCATCAGCCCTGCGCACAGTCGCACAGACGTGCATTCTGCTCTGAGTGTCCCCAAACCTACCCCGTTGGGTGCAATTCATGGTTTCAAACCTGGCGGGACCAGGGGGAGTCGTCGTGGGTTCTGACCACCCCACCTTCCCCATGGCCCCCCAACACTCCCTAGAGAACCCTTGGGCAACTGGTAGGGGGCTCCAGCCTCAGGGCCCCAGTCAGCGCCAACCACCCCCCAGCCACTCACAGAAGCTGTGACCTTAACCTGTTGGCAGGTTTGGTTTCTCCAAACTTAAAGGAGACTCCCACACGGGTCACAGCGGCCCCGCCCGCCTGGGGCTCACAGCACCACGCCCCAGCTCCCCCAGAAAGGACGAGAACAGCAAAGCCCAGTAGAAAGAATTTATTTAAATTCAACGATGAACACAAACCTCCCTTTTATTCCATTTTTACAGCAAATAGAGTGGTGTAGTCCGCTCCTTCATGCATGATCACCGAGTAATAATCTACAACTCTGACTTTAATTGTGGAAAAATAAAGTGTGTCCCGCTGTCACCCCGGGAACATCTGTAGAGCTGAGAGGGCCGGGGCACTTGGGTAAGACCTAGGCCGCCGGGGGAAGGAATCGTCACCAGGAAATAAATATTGCGTCTTGAGGCGGCGGCCGGCAGCTCCGCCGTCTGCGATGCCACCGTGCAGGCACGGCTCCGGGATTTGGCACAGGCGTCCACGTGGGGCGGCCGATGGCAGCCCCCGACCCGGTGCCTGTGTCGACCCTCGGCACCCAAAGCAAACCCGAAACAAAGACGGAGAGGCGGTGGCACGCAAGCCTGTGCTTTATTGTGGGTCAATCGGAGGCCGCGCCACGCAGCCCCGTGCCCTCCGCCAGGGCACACCGGCGGCCGACGGAACCACGGCGGCCTGGGAGCCGGCCAGGCCCTGGGAACCCGCCGCCAGGCAGGGCGCCTCTTGGTGCAGGTCGGGGCGTCAGTCGAGCTCGATGGGGCTGCTGTCGTCCTGGCTGTCCTCGCCCTCCTGCTCCGAGGAGCCCATGAGGCTGCTCAGAAGGTTGCCTGGAAGCAAGCGCCCCATCAGAGGCCCTGACCCCCCACGCCCACCTTCCGCGCCCCCGACACACTCCCAATGCAGGAAGGTCACCGGGCTGAACGGACGGAGACACGACGGCCAAGGGCCCGGGAAAGGTGCTGACCGTCCGAACCACCGGGGACACGCAGGGCGACGGCACAGAGGCCCTCACACCCCGCTCCCGCCCTGCTTGCTGCGGGGACGCGTCCAGCCTGTGGGCGCCGGCGAGGCTCCCTGCACCCGCACGGGGAGGCCTCAGACACGTGCGCACCCACGTCACGGGGCCAAGGGCGGAGCCGGCCCGTGTCCCGCGAGGGAGACACGCGCATGGGACACACGATGATTAGCCTGAAAGGAACCCCACCGTCTGCGCCCCCCCCCCCCCCCCCCCCCCCCCCCCGCCCTGCGAGCGGACAGGACGCGCCTGCGCGCCGTGCCATGGAGCAGGCGGAGGGGGCGGGGCCAGGGGCGGGCGCAGCGCGCAACCAACCGCAGAGGCGGTGAGCATGGCGGCTGCGCTCCGTGTCCTTCACCAAATAAACAGCCAGAGACCCGGCTCCTCCCGGGGCCTCCTTCCGCGGTGGGTCAGGGGGCAGCGGGCCAGCCGCGGGGGGCGGGACGGGGGCGGGACCGGAAGGCAGACAGGGAGGCAGCCGCCCCCCGCCAGGGCCCCGCCCCCGCCCCCTTACCGAGCAAGCCCCCGTAGGAAGACGTCTGCTTGGGCGGCACCCCGAAGAAGAGCTGTCCTATCCTGTCGAGGTACTGACGGAGCAAAGACGGAGCAAAGACGCGTGAGGGACCCCGTGGCCCCGGCGCCCTCCGCCCTCCAGGGGAGGCCCCTCCCGCCGAGCCCGCCGCCCGGGGCCTCACCTCGTTGTACATGGGGTCCCGCCGGAGCGACGGCTGGTACTGCTCACACAGCACCGTGAACACGGTCAGTTTGCCTCTGAAACCGGACGGCAGGGCCACAGCTGTGTCCAGACACCAGGGGGGGCAGAAAGGCACCCCTCCCTCCCCCACGCAGACGCCCACACACTCACAGCCCCACACCCACTCCCGACTCACACACCCACGCCCTCCCACTCACACCCACACCCTCACACACCCACACCCCTGCACACGCTCCCACATCTGTGCACACCCACACCCTCACACACCCACACCCCTGCATACGCTCCCACATCTGTGCACTGACACCCTCACACAGACATGCTCCCGCATCTGTGCACACTCCCTCACTCACCCGTCCAGGGCCAACAGCAGGAACCAGATGAAGTTGAGCAGCGGCTGCACGAACGGAGGGCCGTCCTCGATGGACGGGTGCTTCTGGGTGTACGTCGTGAACACCACGGATGCACTGCTTTTGTTTTTTAAACAGAGGAACCTGGAACGAACGAGCACATCCCCTCACGGAACAGGCCTGTCGCCCACGGGTGGGCTATGGGCCTCTCCCAGGCCGCGGCCCCCACGGGCGACAGAGGACTCACACCCCCGAGCCTGCTGAGCCCTGTGCTCAGCAGCCGCCGTGAGCAAGCCTGGGCTTTCAGGCTTCACAGCTGAAGGGAGTAAGGTGTGTGGGAGGCGACAGGGTGGGGTGAGTTTGTCCGCACACCTGTCGGCCCCTGGGGCCAATGGTCCGAGGGCCCAGGGAGGACCTCTCCGCTGCGGGCGGGCGGCCCGAGGTGCATGGGGTGGGGTCCCGTTTTTTTAAGGCACAAAGGGGGCTCCATGAGAAGGGGCTCAAGACCCTCTACGCCAGTGGTTCTCAACCTTCCTAATGCCGCGACCCTTTAGTACCGTTCCTCATGTAGTGACCCCCTATTTCATTGTTACAAATTGAACACAATTAAAGCATAGTGGTTCATCACAAAAACAATATGTAATTATATTGTGTTTTCCGATGGTCTTAGGCGACCCCGTGAAAGGGTCGTTCGATCCCCAAAGGGGTGGCGACCCACAGGTTGAGAACCGCTGCTCTATGCAGAGCCACGCCCAGTCCAGAGGTGCCGGTGCAGAAGCCACGAGCCAGGCAGTGAGCGGGATGGAGAAACCTCCCCCTGCCGGTCGGGAATGGGGGCCTGATGTGCAGCAGGACCTTCAATCACACAGCACCCCCCCCCCCCCCGCCCCAGCGCCTGGCCACCGCAGGCGCTTATGGGAGAATGACGTGTCCCCCACGGGAAACGTTCCCGCCAGGAAGGGAAAAGGCAGAGCGCCTGGAGCGGGCGGCCCTGCCCCACGTGGCCGAGCGGGACCCCGGCACCTCTCTTCCCCGCGGTGAGTTCCCACACTTTCAAGACAAACCGAGGGAAAGAAAACAGGGAGAGAGGGCCTGCGGACCGAGACCCCGGGCCCGGGAGCGAAAGCTGCAGTGTCCTCAGAGGAAAATGCTTCGATGCTGAAACATCTGGAGAGGCCAGCACAGCCTCTGAAAAAGCCTCTGAAAGCAGGTTCACATCACAAGATGCGACTTACAATCTGCTAATCACAGGTCCTGCAAAAAACAGCTGCCTGACACCAAAAAAATCAAAAGCATGAGACAATGGGGGAGGGGACAAGACAAAAAACAAAACAAAAAAACCAATGGTAACATAAGAATCTTCTATATTATAAAAACCCAGTGGCCCTAACGCCATAACAACCAAAGACCCGTGCAGGTGGCGGGGCTGTGAGCGTGGGGAGGTGCTGGTGGGTGGGTGGGGTCGTGCGATTTTGTGCGCAGGACGTCTAGTGTTCATATAAAACACAAGACCTGCTTCTCTCATGTTCAACTGAAATGTTACAGAAGCCCCGGGCTGCGGCGGCTCCTGAGGGCTGGGAGGGCCGGTCTGTGCGGGCCCCGCGGGGATGCCACGTGACCCCAGAGCCCATGGAGCGGGGCTGGCGGCGTGCGGACACCTACTGCAGGACGGCCTGGGCCACAAACATGTCCACCTCGCTGCGGAAGCCGCGGGACGTGGAGTACTCCACCAGCATGTTGGCGCAGCCCTCCCCGTCGGCCGAGTGCAGGAAGTGGTACCGAGACTCGCAGTAGTTCTGCTCTGCAAAGGGAGAGGCTGTCACTGGAGGCGCACAGGCCGGAGGGGGTTCAGAGCATCCACTGGGGCAGAATCAGGAAGTCCCTGAGCCCCAGGCCTGGGACGGACCCTGTGCAGCGATGGCCACATGGTCTGCCAGCCCAGGCTCTGCAGGCGGCCCTCAGCCCAGCCTCCGGCAGCTGTGGGGACTGAGGGAGGGGCACTGCTGGACTCTGTGCCTGTCTCCCTGTGGTCTGAGCAGGACATACGAGGCCTGTGTCCTGGTTTCAAGCCGTGACGACTACACACACGTGCCCGTAGCTCTCAGCCCAGGGCTGAGTCTGCACCGTGCACGCTACTTCGCAGCCACAGAGGCGGGGCGGCCGGCAGCCTGGCATCACCTCGGGGGGCCCACAGACATAGGCAGAGATGGTGCCAAATAAATGCTGCTGGCAACACAGGTCTGACTGGGTGACTCCACCTGGCCCTGCAGATGGCCCACTCCCCTGAGGACAAGGTGGAGCTGGGCCCGCCCGGGAGGGGCTGGCAGGACGGGCGAGGGCTCCGGGCAGAGGCTTGCGGGTGCAGACAGACAGGCTGTGAGCGAGGACCGAGCACCCAGACAGGACCCGTGGGACAGGGATGTCAGGCCGAGGCCTTGGACAGGAGGGACTGGCCACGAGCGCTGGACAAAGGCTGAGTCTGGAGAAGGAGGCGCCCACAGGGCGCGTGAGGCCATGAGGAGGGAGCCTGCTGGCCGTCCTAGCCCACAGGGTCCGTAGCTGCTTCTCCGCCCGTCCCTTTCCGGCTGCAGTTGTTGTCCCACACACGCCAGCAGGGCTGGTTCCCGGGCCTCCAAGGCGCACCCGCCCCCGTCAGCACAGCTGCCTCCGGCCGCACCTGAGTTTCTGGCTTCACACACACAGGCTGGGCCCCTCCGCACCCACTCCGGGCGTCCCTGAGGGCAGGAGTGCATGCGTCCCCAGGTACAGGCAGGGCACGAGGGGTGGGGGCCCCAAAAACTCGCTGAGTGAGGCGGGTGCACCAACTGCACAGGCTCACAAGCTGGGGCGCAGCCCTCTGACCCCCGTGAGGAGCCGCACTCAGGCGGGTGCTTCCCGCCTGCCTCTCCCGGCGCCCGAGCAGACCGGAGCCAGGACGCGCACTGGACGCTGAGCAGAAGGCGGGCGGTGCGAGGAGAACAGCCCGTGCGGGTGGGGAGTGTGTCCCGACAGGAGGCCGTGGTGGGAGGGTCGACAGGGACCTGGCAGGGGAGGAAGGGCCAGGCCCAGTGCCCACCTCCCAGGCCACCCCAGCCTCACGCCTCAGGGCTGCCGCTCAGCTAGATGGTGACCAAGGGGCGGTGGCCTTAGCTCAGCGACAGGGAACCCCGGTCCTCGTTGGTCAAGACGGGAGCTCACGACGACAGATAAGCAGAAGCCGCGGGCGCGCAGGGGCCCCTGCCCTGCCCTCCCAGCCCACGTGCACCAGACCTACCTCTCCACAGGGTGAGGGCCAGCAGCTGGTGCAGCCGGGGGTGGCCCAGCCGCCCGGAGCCCCCGCTGGACCACTTCAGGGCCCTGGACACAAAGGCCACGCGCTCTGGGGAGTTCGGGTCCATCAGACTAAACAGTTTAGCCAGATTTTCTGAAAACGGGAGGGAGAGACCCCTGTTCAGGGCAGGGCACCCTGACTCAGCTCCTACAGTGCCCCAGGGTCATCAGAAACCACACGACCACTTCCCAGGCAGCTGGCAGCCCCTGGCGTGTCCTGCTGGACCCCCCCCCAGAGCACACTGCCGTGCCCAGAGGAGCCCGCTGGCGTGGGGGCACAGCTGGGGGCAGAGGCTGCGGCAGGAACCCCTGGGGCGGCGCAGTGGCCTCCGTGTGTGGGTGCGTGTGCAGGGGTTGCGACGGAGACACCAGCCCTGAAACACACAGGAAAGGAGCCTCGAGTGCCATGAGAAAGCCTCACCCAACAGCTCATCGGCCACCTCCACTTCCGCCTTCTCCAGCGACTCCAAGACCAGCATGGACAGGTCCGCAGCACTGTTTTGCTACAAAACATGGAAACAGACAAGAATCACGTGGTTAGAGAGCGAGCTCTGTGTTGGGAAGACACAGCCTCGCAGCCCAGATGACAGGCGGCAGCCTGGGCGTGAGGCCCCCCGGCCCACAGACCCCGCCCGCCCGGCCGGCTCCGCCCGCGGGGCCTGCTCACCTGGCCGTGGCTGAAGAACAGCAGCGCCCCGGAGCACATGAGCTCGCGGGCCTCGGCGTGCTTGCTCTGCGACATGTACCTGCAGCGGAGCAGAGCCAGTCAGGGCCCCAGCAGCCCACGGGGGAGCTCATGAGGCGGGCAGGGCCCTCCCACAGAGCGGGCTCAGGCTGCGTGCGGTTTCCTGAGGTCTCCCCACCCGGGCCCTGGCGCTCTGCCCTGCCCGGCTGCACGGAGCCCCTGCGGTCAGCGACGGGGCCTCGGACAGCAGACAGGGCGCCCTGCGGCCTCGTGCCTGGGCCATCAGCAGGGACTCAGGCCCAGGATTGTCAGAAGGGACCAGCAAAAGGTGGGTGACACCCCCTCACCTATTAGGGCAGAACCAAAGGCCAGGACGGCACACAGGACGAGGGACGATGCCCGCCGTGGCTGCGCCGGCGTTCTCAGCGTGCCCTCCCTTCCCACGGGAGGCACCGCCACCCCTGGTCCTGTGCGGGCACCCCACTCCGCACGCATGGTCACCAAGGACAGGACCTGGGCTGGCGGGGGAGGGGCAGTGCCGCCAGAGCCTGGCAGGGCCTGGAGCAGACGGCTGGACAGGACAGGTCTGTCCGCACCAACAGTGTCCAGGGCAGGAGAACAGCCTGAGGAGCGCAGGGGGCAGGTCGGCACAGAGCTGTGTGGGCGGCACCCGGAGCACCTGGCTGTCCGGGGGCCTCAGTGACCACAGGGGGAGCACAGCCAGGAACCCACCTGCGGGCACACACCCCTGGGTGCAGAGGCCAGGCCGCGGCTTCCCTTCCACCAGGGGGAGCGATGGTGGGCTGTCCCCGTCACCACAGAGGTCTGCCCTTCAACACGGCCCACAGGCAGAGCCCAGAACACACCCGTCCCGCCAGCAGCAGGCCCGCGGCTCGGCCCGTTTCTGTCTCAGCACTGCTGACAGAGGTGTGCCCGTCGCACACGCACACGCACACGCACACACACACACACACACGTACACGGACGGCCCGTTTCTGTCTCAGCACTGCTGACAGAGGTGTGCTCGTCACACACGCACACACACATGCGCACACACACATGCGCACACACACATGCGCACACATGTACACAGACGGCCCGTTTCTGCCTCAGCACTGCTGACAGAGGTGTGCTTGTCACACACGCGCACACACGCACACACACACACGCGCGCACGCACACACACATGTACGCATGCACGCACACACGGCCTGGTCCTCCAGACAGCACCCACAGCTCCACCTCATGGACCCCAGGGCCAGCACACCAGCCCGCCTCCGTTCCTCAGGACACACGCTGGGCCCTTCCATCTCAGGAACCCACTCCAGCGAGAAACAAGCCCCCGAAGGCAGGGAGGCCGTTCCTGGGCAGGGGAGCCAGCTTTCCGGGTGGGGTGGGGAGGACGGGAGCAGCGCTCCCCCAGGCAGCGGCTCCCCTGACCACAGGGACCCCCACCCTGCCCCGAGGTGCAGGCGCCCCGGCATCACCACACCTTGTGTACAGCGCCATCTACTGGCAAACAGAACTACCTGTGATCGCCCACCGGCTGAAGGATAAAACCCAGCAGTGCCTCCCGGGAGCCAGGGCAGTGATGGCGAACCTTCTGAGCTCGGCGTGTCAGCATTTTGAAAAACTCCAACTTAACTCTGGTGCCGTGTCACATATAGAACTTTTCTGGTATTTGCAACCATAGTAAGACAAAGACTTATATTTTTGATATTTATTTTATATATTTAAATGCCATTTAACAAAGAAAAATCAACCAAAAAAATGAGTTCGCGTGTCATAGGTTCGCCATCACTGAGACAGGTGCTCACCACCTGCCACCAGCGAGAAGTACAACCACGAAACACCACGGACAACGCGACAGGCAACACAGGAAACGACGAGTCTCCAGATACCAAGTTCAAAGTCACACAGAGAATCCACAGCAGCCACCACGAAGCAACAAGACACGGACACGCGGGCAGTTCAGTGACGCAGAAGAGCTCAATGTGCACAGTGAGCACCTGACCCCGAGACGGACACTATGAAGAGGGACAGACGGACACTCTGGACGGAGGTCCCCAACGAGAAGGCCGCCCAGGGCGACGGGACAGACAGGCAAGACTCCATGGGAGAGGGAGCTCTCCACTCCATCCGAAGGGAAGGGCAGCCTGGGACAGTGGGTATGGGGGGTGGCTCCCAGGATATTCAAGGCAGGAAGTAACAAGACACATTGTAAAAACTGTCAAAAGTTAGTGACAAAACCGAGTTCTCAAAACGCGGGGAGACAGTCCCCAGAGGAAACCCTAGGTCCCAGGTTTCTGGCCGAGAGCAGCTGGGAGGGAGCGGAGGGTGCACTCAGCACAGAGAGAAGCACCAGCCAGACCACCTCCAGACGCATCCTCAGACGCAGAAGCCGAAGGTGACAGACAGAACAGGGTGTTGAGCACTTAATCAGCATAAAAGTGAAAGGGAAAAGGGCATTAAAACGACCACAGCTGGCGCTCCCTCCGAGCCGCCCGGCCTCCCCGCCCGCCCCAGGCCCCTTCGCATCGGCGTCCTCGCTCCCGGCTCTAGGGCCCTTCCTTGGCCTCTGTAACTTGGTCCCTAAGCCCATTTCTTTTAGGAATTACTTTTTCTACCGCTATGATTCACCCCATAAATGTCCTCTTACAGTTTAAAAAACGACAGCTGCTTCCATTTAGTCACGGAGAACAGCACGGAGAATGTGACAGAAATACCTAGAAAGGGAGGAGGGGACGCACAAACCTGCCGGGCAGATGGAGATAAGGAGCCACCGACAGAACAAGACGGCTTTATCGGAGACCAACAGCCAGAGCCGCGGCATGAAACACGGAGCAGAGAGAACAGGAATAACGTCAGAACCACCACCACCCCACCCGGCGGCAGGGCCCGGGAAGGAACGTGGCAGAGCTGCCAGGGAAGGAGGTCAGTCACCAGCCAGCACTGGTCCCCGGAGGTGAACGGAGGGCTCACCGCTCACCGTCTCCAGGCTCAGAGCAGCCGATGGACCCAGAACTAGACCCACCCCAGCTCCAGAGACGACAGGCTCGGGGGCAGGGGACGCTGGCACCCAGCACGCGGTGTCCGGAAGGAAGCAGGTGCCGCCATGCTTACATCAGGCAGAATCAATGTCAGCTCAAGAAAGGCAACAAGAGGCAAAGGTGGACATCTCACCCTGAGAAAGGGCGCCCCATCAAGACGAGCAACACTTACTCTGCATGTGCCCGACGCAGGCGCCGGGATACACGAGCAGCGCCAGTCGTGAGAGCGGCACGCAGCAGGAGGCTCTCCTCTCACTCCCACACGTCCGACAGAGCTCCAGCCAAAAGCACATGAAGGGCGGCCAGCACCGCTGATGAGGAAATGCAAACCAACCCCCCGGTACCAGCTCCCACCTGTCAGAGAGGCTGCCGTCAAGACAAGAAAGAACAAGCCCTGGCCGGGCGTGGAGCACAGGGCGCCTGCCCACGCTGGGGGGACGGAAACTGGTGCAGCCACCGTGGAAAACAGCATGGCGTTTCCTCAAAAAACTTAAAAGCAGAGCGACCACATGACCCGCAACCCCTCTTCTGGGTGTTTACCCAAAGGGTAAGGAAGCATCAGTTCAAAGCCACAGGCACCCGTGCCCGCTGCAGCGGGACCTGCAGCAGCCAAGACACGCAGCTGCCCACGTGCCCGTCGTGGGAGCTGGTGAAGCAGCTGGGGGCTGGCCTGGCCGGCGGCTCCTGGTTAGAGCGTCGTCCCCATACAGCAATGTTGGGGTTCAATCCCCGGTCAGGCCCATAAAGAGTCAACCAATAAGTGCATAAATAAGTGGAACAACAAATCTCTCTAAAATCAATATAAAGAAATTAACAAAAAGCTGTGATGCATATATACAATGGAGTATTACTCAGCAATAAAACGAGTGAAGTCTTACCCTTTGTGACAACACGGATGGATGCACCTGATGCGATTATACTAAGTGGCATCATTCAGACAGACAGACCCCAGGAGAGGGGTGTGGGGGGAACTGGGCCGAGGAGACCAGACTCGGGGAGACCTCGCTATGGCGCTCACCGATGCCAAATGATAATGGTGCGCACCTGTTACCTCAGGAAATTTAATTTTAAAAGTCACTATGGCCCTGGCCAGTCTGGTTCAGTGGATAGAGCGTCAGCCGGCGGACTGAAGGGTACCGGGTTTAATTCTGGTCAAGGGCACAGGCCCGGGTTGCGGGCTCGGTCCCCAGTGGGGGGCGTGCGGGAGGCAGCCGGTCCATGATTCTCTCTCAGCGTTGAAGTTTCTCTCTCCCTCTCCCTTCCTCTCTAAAAAATCAAAACGTGTAAATGAGACAGTCAAGTCTCAGCTGACGCCGCGCCCTCGAGTTCCGTCCCCCAGAACACAGCCGCCGGCCGCAGGGAAAGCTCAGGTTCCCCAGGGGGTAGCAGAGAATGTGCATTTTAAGGCTTTCTTTAAAAAAATGTCTTCATTTGGTTTAAGAGGCAAAACAGGTCACAGGCCACCATCAACCATCCACGCCAACCCAGAGAGGCGCAGGGCCCCAGGGAGGAGGCCTCAGGCCACGGCCCCTTCCTGCCCCGGGAGCGAGCAAGTGACTTAGCAGATGCCCTGCCCGGGGACAGCGGCTGGGACGGAGCCAAGCACCGAGGCTCCAGGAGCCCGCGGCCACGCCCACTCCTGTGGACACAGCCCCACGCGCCGCCCACCTGCGGGGCTGCCCGACCCCCTCTCTGCTCCTCGAGCGGCGGGGGTCATTCACCGGGTGGGTGCGGGGCAGCCAGCGCAGTCCACCTGCACAGGGTTGCCACCCGCGTGGGCGAGGCAGGAACCCGGTGAATCCACAGCAGTCATGCTGGCGAGTCAGTGTCAGGTAGAACCCTGGGGAAGTGCAGGGCCATGAGCCGGGAGCAGGGGAGCAACTAGGCATCGCTTCAGGGGGTGCTGGGGGGGGCTCCGGGGGGTGTTTGAGGCGGGGTGCTCCAGGGGGGTGCGCTCCAGGGGGTGTGCATGTGGACACTCACCCGCTGGCACTGATGTGAGGACTAAGTGTAACGTACGTGTGTGTATCTGTGGGAAGGCGGCCTGAGCCTGAGCTGCGTCCCGGGGGCAGGGGCGCAGACGGTCACTTCTCATGACCCCCGAGGGGCAGCGGCGCCTCCGGTGACCCCGGGGAAGCCAGGTGACCCCGGGGAAGCCAGGCTCCGAGCACAAGGTCAGGCGCGGGGCAGAGGCGGAGGCCAGGCCCGGGGAGGCCGGGCGGGGAGGGGCTGCCTGCTGCCCCAGCCCCCAGGCCCGTCGGGATGGACCCTGGACCCAGAGCCTCGCCGCCCTGAGGCCACGCTCGTCCCTCCCACAGCGGCCACTGCGCGGGTGCAAACACCGGACAGGTCCGCGCAGCCGGCAGGGCCCCGCACAGCCCCGGGCGGCCCCGGGACAGCAGTCCGCTCCGCCCTCCGCACCGCGGGCCCTTCCCTCCAACACGCACCGGCCAACGACAGCCGAGCGGAAAGGGCCCCCGTCCCCCCCCCCCCCCCGGCGGAGGCGGCCCCGCCCGGCAGCGACCGGCGACGGGCAGGTGGAGAAAGGCCCCCGGGTCGCCACTGGTTCCCGCCGGAAACCGCCAGGGTCGCCGAACGCGTGTCGCTCCGGAGCGTCGCACGCACATAAAGTCGCGGTGTCGGTCCGGCCCACGCACCGCGACCCCGGCAGCCGCGGGGCTGAGCCCTGAGCCGCGCGGGGAGGCGGCACGTTTGCTTCGTCCACGCCACCCAGGGTCACCCCGCACGGAGCCCGCGCCCCACGCGCCGCCAGGGCTCCCGCGGCCCAGGGTCACCCCCGCACGTGGGCGGCGCAGGTGCCACAGCCGCCGGGGGCAGGCACGGCGGACCGGACCCGACACCGCGGAGGGCGGCGTTCCGAGTGGGCGGAGAGCCGTGCGACCTCGCGTGGGGGCTTCGCACCAACGGCGCTCGGGGTGGGGACCGGCAGCGGGGCGGGGTGCGGGGTGGGGGCGGCCGGGGAGCCGGAGCCGGGCCCTCGCCCCGCCGCCCGTCCGACCGCGGCGACAGGCAGCGGCGCGGGCCAATGGGCGGCGGGGGCGGGGCGCCGGGCGGGACCGCGCTACCTGAAGAAGAGGGTCCGGTACATCTGGTGCGCCTCGTAGTACTCGCCCTTCTCCACGCTGGCGCGCAGCTTGCCCTCCACGCGCTGGACGCCGCCGCGGTTGCGGGCGCCGTTGCGGGCGCCCTCCTGCTCGGCCATCGCCGCCGCCGCCGCCATCGGGCCGGCGCTCCGCGCAGGGCTGACGCTGTCGCAGGCGCGGTCGGCAGCGCCTCTCGGCTTCCGTCCCGGCGGCCGCCCGACGTCCTCTACGGTGGCCGCGAGGAGCCGCGCGGTCGGGGGCGGGCGCGCCGACGGGCGGCCACGTGACCGCGGGGGCCGCCCGGGCGAGGACGTGACGCGGAGGAGGCGGAGCCCGAGAGGCCACGTGACCGCGCGGCACGCTGACGTCACAATGGCGGCCGCCGGCGGGGGCGGGGCGCTGCAGGTCGGAGCGTGGTTCCCGGGGCAGCTGCGGGTTCCGCGGCCGTGACGTGGGTCAAGGCTGGAAAAGAGGGGGTTTTAGCCGCGTCCGCGGCGGCGGGCGGTGCAG